TGAACCATTTTTAATTACATAGGACCGGGACATAAATATTTTCCCATTTTGTCATGTCGTCTCGTATATATATCTATTTATTTATTTATAGAGTTTTACTTTCATGGTCCTAAGGTCCACATGTGAAATGTGAACATTCACGTGCTTTTCATGAGCTGGTAAGTGAATTTTTTTTCAACATGCCCAATTTTTTTAATGATGTGAATGCACTAATGTTTATAAAATTATCTTTATTAATATGGAAATTTGATATTTCAAAACTATATTCTAAAATAAATAAATATTATAAAAAAATTGATTATTCAAAATTATATTCTAAAATAAATCTAATTTTACTAAATTTATATTATAAATAAATATATATTTTCTTAATTCACGATCAAAGGGTGCCACCATTTGAAAAAAAATGTCAAAATGTGGCAATATTTTATGGATGGAGAAAGTAAAGAATATTATTTTTATGTTTAAATTTTTGTAATTATTTAAATTATTGAGTATCAACATCAGCAATAATTCTAAGAAGTAAAGAGGATTAAATATTATTTATAAAGTACTAAATTTTTAAAAGTATACAACATAAAAAATGCATATTTAAAAAAGTACAATTTAAAAATTATTAAAGCATAGCTATTCATTTGTCCTACGATCCATCTCTCCCAAAAAATGATTTTGTTGATGATGTCCATGACGAGGAGTCTCTTCTAGGGGATGTATTGGCGTCAAGACTTTTCAATTACCGACATTCAAATTTTCTGGAAAAGCGAACGGTTCAATCCTACTATTGTAACAATTTAAATATTTCTGAACAGAGTATTTTTATGGAATAAGATCATCAGCAAATTCTGGATAGGAGCTCGGTGTTGTAGAGATTGTTTCTAGTATGTTGTGTTTGTTTGGAATTTTTTGCTATTGCTTGTACTTAGTTCTTTACCCGTATTATACTGTGTTAGTTCCCTTTCATATTTTTGTGCAGGTTGAGTCGGGGGTCTCTTGGAAACAATCTCCCTACTTCCGAGTAGGGGCAAAGTCTGCGTACACACACTCTCCCCAGACCCTACTGTAGTGGGATTCAATTGGGATGTTGTTGTTGTTGTATCATCAGCAAATTGTTGGAAAAATGATAACACGCCATGAAACTTGCACACAATGGATTGCCTTGGTAATCCATTTTCCACGCATGCAAATTCCATTAAGCAAATCCACCATATAATTGTACGGATTAACAGGATTAGAAGGAAAAGTATGGCTAACAATATATTGATAATTACCGTAATTGGTAGACACCCACTTGTGATTTTTCTTCTCACGACGACGAAGAATCATAATAATTTTAGGAGTAATGTGAATATTCTTTTGAATCTATTGATTAACAATCTTGTGTCTTTTTTCGAATGATTCAACCATTTTGTTGTACGACATCTTCAGCATTGTCGTAACTAGGGCTGTTCATTGGTCCAAAATCGACCGAACCAGACTTGCCCGAACCGGAGCGAAGACCGAATTAAATAAAATCACAGACCGAAGACTGGACCTAAATCTATTCGGGTTTGGACCAGACCAAACTGAAATACTTAGGACCGAATCTGTATGGATCGATTGGACTGAATAAAAATACATATTTTTTTAAATTATTTTGATCAATTAAATATATTTTAGGCTTTTTATTTTGTATTGTTCAAATAAAAAATAAAAAAATAAGCAATCTATTTCGCTGTCCTCCTTCCATAATTGCACTGACGATTAGACATTTCTAAAAAAAATTAAAAAAAGAATTTCGTGTGTACTACATATGATTTCCCATCTTAAAATTTTAAGGTTTCAATTCAAGAATTAAAAAAATTGTTTTTTCCAATTGAGGGAAAACACCTTGCTACACATTTCCGTAGAAACTTAGGGACGAGGAAGAGAAAGGGGAGGCGACGAGCACACACTACACATTCTTTCCATTTTATTTTTTACAGTCTCCAATATTATACTTTGACCATTAATATCTATATTTATACATAAATATATTTTATAAAAAATTGATATTTGAAGACTGCGTTATAATAAAAATATATTGATATTAAATTTATATCATAATATAATGTATTTTTTCCATATATTGTATTCATAGTTTACAAATTTTGAATAAAAAAAGTCAAATGGAAAGAACATTTTAGGATGAAGTGAGTGTAACTTAGCTTTTTTCCTTTTAAGCTTGAAGTTTCGTCAATGGTTCCAAACTCCTACAGTGATGTATATGTAAAATTTTTCGAGATTAACAAAAGTTTTTCCCATGAGAAGGTATCGCCTAAAAATACCCATGATTTTCTCACGACTTGAGTTTTTACGTAAAAATATTTTCTTTTCGTTTTATTTATTTATTTGTTGGATTTTGTTGTTTGGCAAGCAAGTAAGGTGTCGACCCAACACAAAGTTTGTCGGGTCAAAGTTCTTTTAAAGCAATTTCCATCAGGGGTTGATTAGAATTAGTCTTATTTCAATAAAAGTGGGTCCACAACAGGTCTAAGCAAAAAAAACAATACAAAGGTCGAACGCCACCATGGTAATGTTATACGGAGTATATTTTAGTGTAATTGAAAAAAACTATTTGACCAATTGTATCATACTTCCTCCGTTCCAGAAAGAATGCCACGTTTACTATTCTGGCTTCTCGATAACTTTTGTTTGTTTACTCGTTTTGGTTGACCATTTGATAAAATAAAATATTCTTGTCGCATCTTGTTTTGTAGAGCTTTTCATATACTTTTAAATGGTGTAATTTTTACTTTTTATTACTTTACCAATTCAAAATTAAAGTGATTTTAAAAGAAATGATATTTTGCACGTCCTTCGAAGTGTTGCAAAGAAATTGGGACGGAGGGAGTAATAATCATAATAATAATTGAGTTTGTTATGATAAAATTCTTGTTTTAAAAGGGGTTTTATGGGGGCAGCACCCCCTTGGATGTGGTTCGGCGCCACCGAGCAGGGTTCAATGGGCGGCAACCCTGGCAAGGTCCAAGGTGTAGAGCCCATGTTAGAGGGAAATTTTTTTTATTTCGAATAAAGTACTGTGAAAATTCACTTGAATTTTTAATTTTCGGAAATTAAGTATAAACAAAATTCCGAAAAATCGCCACTTCTAAGATTAATGGCAAAACATATTTATTCTAGGGGAGATGCTAGGGGTACACCTTTTGGTGTACCCCATTTGTACAACACCCCCTTCATAATCACTCATTTATTTTTTATTTTTATTTACTTAATTTTTTTTAAATTTCTTATCTATTTAAGTGGTAATAGAGAGGATGAAGACAAATGGGGTACACCTTTGGTATACCCCTAGCATTTTCCTTATTCTAGATCAACAAAGTTTGAGTTTTATAGGATTGATTTTTGAAGCCAACATCCAAATATTCCGTCTGAGTTTAATGCAATGTTCACCGGTGCCCCCTCTGCTTCTAAAACTTACTCCATCCCCCCCACTAATTCTAAAATCCTACTCCATTGCCCCCTCCGTTTCTAAATCCGTAAATTTTAACGGAGCGTGAAGGAAACGCATTTGATATGCGTTTGGTAGAGTATTTTCTCAGCTTTATTGCACCATTCCCCCCTGTGGTTTGCTAAATGTTCACAGGTGCCCCTCTGGTTCAAAAAATTACTCCAT